AAGGAAATTTTACATAATAGAATGATGTACAGCAAAGATAAACACTCGATTGTAGCCACTAGATCAGTTCAAATGTACCTTATTCATATATAAAAATTTCACGGAAATACATTGAGAAGTACCAGTCCTACATCTGTGACTTTCCTTAACGTAAACGCCACAAACATTTAAGATGAGAAAATTAAGCATACATTCATTTAAGATATTATACCATATTTCGAGGTGACATTACATTCCTATATTTGTGTAAAAAAGCCGTTACTATCCCTCATGTTTTTAAATGCTTTTTTAAAGAAAATATTCTAAAAATGTGCAATAAAAACAACTTGCATGCACTGTTACATATATTCAGAAAAAGCAAAAATAAATATTTTTATTGTGATTGAGTTGCTGTCTCCTTGAGGTGCGTATACCCCAGATCTCTTTTATATTTCAGATATATTCATGGTGTAATATATCAAATGTGTTTAATAAACAATAACAAGGATCGTTTCAATAATGATACTTTATATACACACACTCACACAAAATATATACTGAAAATTTCATTTAAACTGAAATTATCTGAAGAGTTAACAAAGAATGCCTAATAGACATGTTAGATAGATAACTATTGTTGACAATTGAGAGTCGAGAGTCTATAGTTCAGACATTTAAATTAGGGACCATCTCAAACGAGTAGAATTAATTATTGATTTACTCTGTACAATAACAACTTTTTAACATTTCTACACAGGCCTAGATCCTCCCATTTTGAAAAAAATGGGGATTTCGAACACCCGGAAACGTTCGCATAATTAAAACAAAATCGGAAAACAAGGGGGAGTTCCAACTCCCGGAACACCCCCTGGATCCACCAATGCTTCCTCACTCGATGATAATGTTTTGCAGTTCAGAGAAAAGACTCAAACTACATGTCATGAATTAGAGCGTCTGTACTATATTTATAGTTTTTTTTTTTATGGCATAGCGATATATTAAAAAAAATAAATGAGTCATATATTAGGATATTCTGATTATTTTACTTAGAATCAGAATCAGATTCTGAGTCAATACAAAAAACCTTTAAAATTTTTGGCACTTGCTTCCTTCTGAATCGGTCATATGCAACTGGTCTCCCGGAAATGAACTTTTGATGGTAATCTTGTGGCTAAGAACATAATTTTATTCGTGTTATTCGATTTTGTCTTTGTTGTTTAATGTTTCTTCATTCACTATGTCACATACAATTGATAGTATAGTACTGTTGTTGTGGGAGATATTTTCTCCATTGGATTTGCCGTCGCATAACGAGTGGTTGTCCTTGCGAGGCTGATGACCAGGACTGCCAAACGCAGTTGCGGCAGTAGACGGTACATCTCATGCAATTTGTCGCCATCAAAATGGGCCACAGAAACAGTTTTATTCCGTACACAGACAAATGCACTGTATTCACATCCAGGTTTTGATTGACAACCAAAACTATATACGACTTGAACGTAGCGGTTACCTAGATCCACCAAAATGATGCACAACAATTCAACTCAATGCCAGAAATAGGACACGGACTTCAACTTGATTTCATAGAGAACCTTTTAATATTAGCGGATAGAATATATGCTAACCGTTATCCAATAATGACGAGTTAATGTCGAATAGCAGACTTAAATGTTATAAAGTAATTGGTACAATGTGGCGTCATCCGCGCTGGAAAATTAATCAGATTGTTAAACTTTGCGCTAGTTTGATAGAAAGAGGGCACAATTTAATTGACTGAAAATTATAAAATCTTTGCTCTATCATGCTTCATTTGACTTTACATAATGCATTATGTTAACGATAGAAAAAATCAATACGTGTTTTGAGACGAACCCTTTAAAATGTTTATCGTCTCTCGACTCTCGTTTGTTGTTTGTCAAAAGTAATCATTTATCTAACACGTCTATTGAACGATTTGGAATTACATACATTTATAAATTTGACGTGTTATGAATACCCACAATCACGGATTACTTTCTAGTACATGTATGTACAATAGGGAGACGACCTATTGTTTTAAAACGCTTGAAAATAGTAAAATATTTAAATGGATAATCATTTATGTAAACATTATTTTCCATTTTTTGTTTAGCCTAAACAGACATTTTATAGAAGAGGGGCGAAAGATACCAGAGGGACATTCAAACTCATAGATCGAAAACAAAATGACAACGCTATGGCCAAAAATAAAAAGACAAACAGACAAATAATAGTACAGATGACACAACATAGAAAAATAAAGACTAAGCAACACGAACCCCACCAAAAACTCGGGGTGATCTCAGGTGCTCCGGAAGGGTAAGCAGATCCTGCTCCACATGTGGCACCCGATAGATAATGCATATTTTAAGGTTTTTCTTGTCGTATAACACACCGAGGAGTGTCAGGATTGATCAAATAAAAGACCGAACGTCAAAAAATATAATTTTTGGCAAAGATTTTCAGCAATTGTATCCTATTTTACCGATCACATTGAAGAGGTCTATTCTTTCCTTAAGGGTTTATGTATAAACACGCCATATGGCTCATTTTTATGTAAAATTTTGCAATCGTAATATTTCTCAAGCAGATAATATTCTTGTATGGAATTTCCCGTGATTATCCGCAGGCGGGTGTAATTGAAAAAATGTCGTGGAAAATAGGCAACTTTCGTGAAGAAGTATCATGCTAAGGATTGAGTGGAACATTTTGAAAGTTGGTGTATGGAAAGGAATTTTCTATGAACATAGTCTTTCCAATTTTTGTTTTAATTATTAATATGCACCAAAGATTTACATTTTCTACAACATCAATGTAATACACTGCTGAAGTTATTTTCTCGTTGAAGGTTAAGACAATAGACATAAGTATAATAAGACATAAAAGGCCGAGGAATGACAAAACCAGATACAATTCAAATTTAAAGAGAAACAACAACCACTGTTTACAGGCTCCTTGCTTGAGACAGGCAGACCATACCATAAAACGATTATTTTAACCTAGACTCCTTTATTTTTTAGGTCCGTTTTTGGTCCATTAGCTCATCAAATGTTGCGGTTCTTATACATCATTCACTTTCTGTTATTCGACTTTGAGCGTTCCTGATGAAGGTTAATCATTAAAAGCGCTTCGGACGCATGACATTTATAAAGTGTTTTATTTTTAATTTTTTTGTTGCAATTTTTCTTATGTTTAAGCCTTTTCTTCATAAATTGACTGAATTAAAAGCCAACAGCCGATTTAAAATGTTATTCCAGGGATAAATATGAAAGCAAAATATCTTCATAATAAACTGGTGCCATAAAGATATGTCTCGCCTTTATTTAATTTTGATAGTTTAATGCAAATGTTGAAAATAAAATGGGAATACTTTAATATGTCAACTATGCGAAAGTTTCAAAGTCAGTGAATGATGACTGAAGGTGCGATCTCTATGGAAATAAGATGTGCCAATGCTAATAAACAAGCCTTACAAAATTTTATTGACTTGCCATTAATGGTTCTCAGTTTCATTCATATGCAGAAACTTGGTGTGTTTCTTTTAACACATTTTATTGTTTGTTTTTTTATTGGAAAATATAATTCAGTTTTCATTATCCCCGCGCTCAATATAGCGGCGGAGATGATCAATAATGCTTTGCTGTTCGTTGCTCGTCGTCTTCTCCCATGAATATGCCCTTAAGACATTTTCTGTTCTTAACATAAAAAATAAGACGATGGGGTATGATTGCCAATGAGACATGTTATCAATCTACCAAAGACCATATTACAAAGATACAAGTAACTATACCGTTTTCAAAAATAAGCAAAAAACAAAACCTATAAAGTGTGGTCTGGCCACGCATTGCTTTCGCGTTAAAATAATGCGTCGAATTATCTTTCACGCTCAACCTTGTTTAAAAATCAACAAAATCCCACTTTTAAAAAATAATTTGAAGTTTTTCAAGATAAACACAAATTCCATTTTACTGTACTTTCTGACATAACACAGATTTAGTTGATATATATCATGATTTATTGGAATGTGAAAATGTGTTTTTATTTATAAATTGCAAAGGGTTATGGGTCTCCTTTTGTATTTTCTTAACATGCACTGCATTGTTTTCCTTAGTGCACCGTATTATTGAGGAAAAATACTCATTTTGACAGACATATTTCTTTTTCGGATTTTCTCCGCCTTTCGTAATTCAACGGAGTTTTTTCACAGATTTTGAAATTGAATAGTATTTAATTACGCTCAGGGTCGGATACCAGATCTTACAAGATCCGATCGCGTGATCACCGTTATTTATTTTTTCACGATCATTTTTCTCGATTAAGAAGAAAAAAACCGCATCTAGCATAGTTGACAAGTCTTTACAATTACTGAGTTAATACATATACTGTTATACGTGATTGAGCTCACAAGAAATATCATATACGGTCATTTGTGGAAAGAACAAGGGACCATAATGGCCGCGATGAGTCCCACCTACTCTTTAACCAAGAGTTTCCAAAAATATTGTCCTTTTGTGATCTATCTCAATTGCTAGGCAACGGGTAAAATAGTTGCGACAAAATCAACAAATATTTGAATTATATAGCGTCATTTAATTTATATTTCAGATTCAAGAAGTTTAGACGGACATTTAAACATTTGTGAAGCAGGATCTGCTTACCCGTTTGGAGCACCTTAGACGACCACCGTGTATTTTATGGGGTTCATGTTGGTCAGTCTTTAGTTTTCTATGTTGTGTTTTGTATACTAATGTTTGTTTTTTATCTTTTTTTTCCCATGGCATTGTCAGTATGTTTTCGAGTTTGAATATCCCTTTGGTATATTTCGCCTCTCTTTTAGAAACGAATTGATATTGTATATCAAATAATGACATACAATCAGTTTATGCTGTTATGTCTGTTAACTGCTTTTTAACTTTTTATTTTCATTTACTTGTTCTACGACAACATGACATTTATTGATTAGTTTCATATTGAACATATAACAGTATTCATAGAAAAAAAAAAAGGTTTTAAACATAAATTTATTGTAGTATTTAAGTATCACAATTTTCAAAACAATAAACAATTGAAATCATTGATTAAAAGTAGTATGGTTAATAAATAAAACACCATTTATTACATAATTCCAATAAAGATATGGTAAAATATGTAAATGTTTGAAATATTACTCTCAGAATTAATATACAAATGCCCAATTAATTCATATTTTTCCCCAAAGTACAACTTAATTTGCATTTTCTACTGAAATTTCTACAGAAATTTGGGTTCTTCTTTACCAATTCTGAGTTCTGTTTTCCGTTTTGGGTCGTATTTCCTACAAAAAAAAACAACAACGTAATTCAATAATTAAACTTTGAAATTACAAATTGATGATTTCTTATGTCCCTGCTTTTATAGATTCATTTCAAATACGAAAATCAATCACACTGCAATCGCCACTTACATCGATAGAGAGCTTTTTTTATTCACCATCATCGATTAAAGAGCTTTTTTTATTCACCATCATCTAGATAAAAATAAGAAGATGAGGTGTGCTACTTCCGGTTAAAATTAGTGGAATACAAAAGACATACTTGTTTTCGAGAAATATGTTTATTCGAATAAGGAGATGTGATATGATTGCCAATGAAACAACTATCCACCAAAGTTCAAATGGAGTGGATGTAAGCAATACTGCAATAATAGGCAACTGTATGGCCTTTAACAACGAGAAAAACCATTACCGTTTACGATACCCCAACATAAAAAGTGTAAAACAATGAAAAGAAAAAACTAACGGCCGAATTAAAAAAAATCAATTTACGAAAAACGAATATGACAGACATGAAGTAACGACAACCACTAAACCACAGGCTTCTGACTTTGGACAGGCACATGCAGAATGTGGCGGGGTTAAACTAGTTGGTTGGCGCAAAGCCATCACCCTAACCTAGGACAGTGGTTTAACACAAGAAGAAACTATAAAAATCAGTTGAAAAGGGCTTAACTCATCAGACAGATACATTGCAGAAACCCATCTAACAAAAACACAGACCGGACCAGGCAGGATATTTATACATCCCCTCAACAAAAAGACACTATATACATATCTTAGAATATTTGCAGTTGCTGACAGTAAGTTCAAAACCAATAACAGCTAATAAAAAATCATGCATCTAAGACAAAAACATCAACAGTACGCATCCAACATCCAATGAATTTAGTGTAAAGAAGTCATTAACAGTCAGAGAAAAACATGACCTTGTACAATGCCAAGATACAGGTATCAACAGATTGTAGAGCCATGCATATGCATATGTATATAACAATAATATTTAGTCTGATTTTAAATTACTGATAACAAAATCAATATGTTTACCAATAAAAACAATATTCAAAGGTCTAATAACAGTGTTGAATAGATAACCGCTTAGAATAAGTTTATTTTAAGGATCGATAATTTTACCTAGATTGTATCTTAATTTGGGGCTCGTTAAATCACATCTCCATTAAAATAAGGATGTGCTATCCCGTTTGAAATAAGTTTTATACAGGTACAACCAAACTTCAGACCAAATCTTTGTATTTATGGAAGGATTAAGTAAAGGTTTTAAGTCATTTCTGGTAACGAAATCACTGACTTAATAACTTACCAGTGATACACAGAATACGTTCATTGAAATCCAAAACGTCCCTACAGACACGGACATAGCGAACGAACCGTGATATATAAACACCGTAAGATGCATATGGTACTAAAGGAACATCGACGTCCACAAAATGAAAAATTAACAATAGGGAACGAAAAATCGTCCCTTTTGTCGTATTTTTTTGGTTAAGATTTTCCCGTGTAAAACTGAAATATCTAAATCTAGGAAAGGACAATTATTATCGTTTATATTGGATTTATTTAAAGTAAGTTTCTTTGGGTAAATTTCGGCAGTGTATTTAGAAAATTCCTGATTATTTAACGAAAAAATATCATCAATAGAAGAACACTTACTACTTATTAATTTGAATTTTTATGCGAGCCTAGTTTGATGCAACAATTACTTACAGTACTTTTATACCAGCATGCTCGAACATTTTAGAAGTGGCTTTTTCATCTTTTCTCGATAAATCTGCTGTTTTAGATTCATAATAAACCACCTCTTTAATACCAGATTGTACTATCAATTTAGCGCATTCGTTACATGGGAAAAGGATAACAAACAGTCGACAATTTTGTATATCCGCTTGTATTTTGTTAGTAATGGCGTTGAGCTCAGCATGACAAACTAAAAGAAAAAAGAAGAAAAAACAAACTGCTAGTAGTCCTTTGTTAATTTATGTATCATTGTCATTTTGCTTAATTTCTTTTGTTACCTATTCTGACTTCGGACTCGGACTTCTTTCAAACTGAGTTTTACTGTGCGTATTGCCGTGTGTGTGTTTATTCTACATTGGCTAGAGGTATAGGGTAGGGTTGAGATCTCACAAACATGTTTAAGCCCGCCGCATTTTCGTGCCAGTCCCATGTCAGGAGCCTCTGGTCTTTGTTAGTCTTGTATGTTTTTAATATTAGTTCATTTATATGTTTTGGAGTTTAGTGTGACGTCCATTTTCATTGAACTAGTACACATTTTTGTTTAGGGGCCAGCTGAAGCCCGCCTCCGGTTGCGGGATTTTCTCGCTGTGTTGAAGACCCGTTGGTGACCTTGGGCTGTATTCTGCTCTTTGGTCGGGTTGTTGTCTCTTTGACACATTCTCCATTTCCATTCTCAATTTTATTTAGACTAAGTTTGAAAATATTATAGCCTTTTTTCTTTCGTTTAAATTTGTTTTTATCTATGAAAATAAATATCAAAATAAGGGTATATTTTATGTGTGTCGCTCCCATTGAACAGTAAATTCATATATTCTATTGTCTAAGTTGGAAGCTAGCAACAATTATTGTCATTCTGATTTACCGTATACATTGTATATAACTTCTTTTGAGCCAAAATTATTCTTGCTGTTTTTATCATTTCCCTGCGTTTTGTTCGGATAATTTCTCTAGTACAAATCCTGTCTTTATTTAACATCGCTGTTCTTTGTTTTGTCATTTTGTTTTTATGAAAGATCCCTGCTTCTATCCAATAAAGAAAGCTTTTTGCATGTTGATAGAAGTATACGGTTCTATGTAAAGCCTCTATATTTTGCTTCCGAATTTTTATTTTTATATATTTTTTTTCAATCTAGCTATTTTATTAAAGTAATGCAAGTATTTCTAAAAACAGCATTTCTATTCTTGAGTAACCAAATTAAGAAAAGCTAACTTGAGCGATATGTTTTCAGGTTCAGAGCCAATCAAGATTATAAATTGATTGATTTAGAAATTTTTAAGTTGGTTAAGATGAAATGATTTCTAATTTGAATTTTTTTCAAAAAGAAAAATTTGTTGTTGAAAAATCTTTAACTAATCAATACACAATCAAGTGGTGATAATAGGTGAAAAAACTTATTTAGATGGTAATATGACATTCTAACATTTTTGAAAAATGTAAAACTGATATCATTACTGACGGAATATAGCCCACATGCTCATTGAAAATGTCCAGGAAGATGTACCTCCCTATCAAATGAGTAGAACTAACGCATTTGTTTTTGTATCATTTAGTGGGTTTTCATGTCTCGAATATTATTTTGAATAATATATAGAAATGCAAAATGCCGATTTAATTCATTCCAAAATGGTGAGTCAAAAATTGGAACATCAAGTTTTCAATTTCTGAAAAAAAAATCCCCCCTTTCTTTCACAGAGATGAGAATCTTTTCATGATTTTATAAATAAGATTATCTCATTTCTCTATAGAACGTATGCATACCATAAAGATGTTTATCATCCTCAGCGGTGTCACCCTTAGTCCAGGGAAACTCTGTATCCGAACGACCATCAGGCATGCCATTGTAGCCCATTCCGACTATTCTTTTGTCCTGATTTACAATACATGCTCCAACCTAAATAGAATGCATTCTAAATAATGTTGTCAGCCTATTCTATTTAACCGGTAAACTCGTTTTTATGGGAATTTAGCGAACATCAAGGATTACGGATTAACTTTTTCACGGAAAACAGTTGTTTAACGATGTTTCAAATCCTGCAATTCCATTGAGAATATACAAAATCAGATAGAAAAAAAATTAAAAACAAATGAACGAGACCTATTTCGTTGAAAATGTAGGCGTCTCATGCTAGCCCGTCATGCAAATCCACACTCATGCAAGATAACACTATTAAGAATGAAACACAATGTACATATCAGAGGATCTTTCTTGTAGCTAGATGTCTTAGATAATGAAAACATATCTCTTTTGTGTTAAGACACAGACACAGACTCAACGCAAATGTACCAGTCAACCAATTCGTAATAATGACCCGAGAGGCTGTATAACATAATCATACATGCGCGTAACGTATCAATTGAGATATGTAAATGCCATTCGATGGGGCAGTGCATATGTTACTACTGAGAAATAATAAGTTGAGAAAGAGAAAGATGAGGTCGTTATGCTTGTCATTACTCCTAGTAGTTTTAAGTCTTCCATCTGTATCAATTCGTGAGAAAGATCAAAATATGAAGCACATTTTCCAGTTTCTGTACTATCCTATACGTCAAGTTTACTAGGATATATTAGATGCAAACACTCACTGAAATTAAGGAATACAATGTTTGTATTTGAAGATTATCTATCGTTAATTTGGGATATGACGGTTGCAAATGCTGTTTTACTGGCGACGCGTAGAAGTAGCGGAGTCAGCAAAACTGATATTTGCGACCGTCAAATACAAACTTGACGTTGGCCACTCTGCAAATACAGTATTGTTATTCCTATTCTTACAAAGTATAAAAAAAAATAATTCCAAGGCAAATTTAAAAAAAGTCCATAAAAACTGACAAAATCATCGCTATCAATTAACGTTATAAGTGAAAATGTAATACTTTTAAAATGTTCAAAATTAAACTTATTAAATATCCCGATAACGTCGTCTGTTTTTACGAGTTTATCAATAACAAGTAAAGGTCTATTTGTTTAAAGTCTAAAGACTAACGGGAATAATGAATATATTTCTGATGTTAATTGTGGATTCCATTGTTTAAATTTTCAGGAATAAATTTGAATATTTGAGCTCTTGTTGTATTCTAAAAACGACAACCAGATGTTTTTTCTTCCTATAAATAATAAAGCGATGTTTAGCCAAAAAATGCATTCACAAAGAGACACTAGATAAAATTACAGAGTCTAGAAAACTGAAATTATTACAACAGACCTCTTATTATCGTACATTGTAAATAGCTTTTCCAATATGAGCAGAAAAAAAAGATTTGATGTAAATGTAAATGATTGACTGGTACCCTACTAATTAATTTCAAGATTACAAACCGTTTGAAAAGGTGATCATTTTGTCTTCGAAGGACAAGCTGCGATTGAGTATTCCAAGCTCTTAATCTCCTTTAGAATATGACACTTTTGATGATAATCATCTATACATTATCGGAAGTATAGATAATAAATAAACTGACTAAATGTCCGATTTCAGCGCGATTTGTCATTTAGGTGTAATTAAGGAATATGTTGCGTGGCCTTACACTAAGGATTCATTGTCATTTTGCTTACTAGTTTCTTCTGTTACCTATTCTAACATCGGACTCGTACTTCTTTTAAACTGAGTTTTACTGTGCGAATTGCTATGTGTTTGCTTATTCTACATTGGCTAGAGGTATAGGAGAAGGGTTGAGATCTCACAAAACAAGTTTAACCCCTCTGCATTTTTGCGCCTGTCCCAAGTCAGGAACATCTGACCTTTGTTAGTATTGTATGTTTTTTTTTTTTTAAATTTTGGTTCATCTATATGTTTCGGAGTTTAGTGTGACGTTTATTTTCACTGAACTAGTACACATTTTTGTTTGGGGGCCAGCTGAAGCCCGTCTCCGGGTGCGGGATTTTCTCGCTGTGTTGAAGACCCATTGGTGGCCTTGTATTGTTTTCTGCTCTTTGGTCGGATTGTTGTCTCTTTGACACATTCCCCATTTCCATCCTCAATTTTATTTAATGTTTATTTTTTATTTAGATTTTACAGTCAAATTCAGCAAGTGATTTTTTGGAAATGTTTATTCGATTGTTTTTTTTCCAAACGAAAACAAAGTTTGCAGTCCTTACTCTTAATCAAAGTAATATTTTTTCCACCTATGCTTTTCTCTTAAACACACCAGGGTGAATACCATAAAAATTACTAGTATTTATATTTGCACTTTGTATACTTTGCTATTACCTGAGTTTTTGGATCCTCACTTCTTTGCGCTGAAACAAAGCATAGGGCCATGAAATATTCATCCAATTCAAGATATCCGGAACGTTTTGCAGTTTCCATACTGGAATCCACCTTTTTCGGTTTTGCAGTTTCCATACTCATGATACTGGAATCAACCTTTAAATTTTAAATAATTTCAAATCGGGATTTGAATATAAAATATCGTGACAAGTATGAACCATATTATGCAATGAAACATAGAACAGATAGAATCAAAGTCTAAGACTCTTAATGTCACATGTGCCCTTTTTTATTCCGAGGAAAGTTCAACACAATGAACGTTTATTGTCACCATTTGTCAAAAGCGCTTCTAATATGGTTGGAAAACCGATTTCTACGAAATGTCTATGTTCTTTCAAAATTGAAATTAATTTTTCATACATTGATTAACAACCTACCTAATTCGTAAGAGATTGTCAATGGGAAGAATATGATTGCAATTTATACTGGAGACAGTTTCCCTTACGTAAGACATTTGAAATACTTTGACATATTATCATCATTTGTGAAACGCGTTCTCGCATTGGTTCAAAGATTTATCAATCTAAGGCTACAGTTTGACTGTTTTGCTTAGCGCTTGTGTTATATTTTAGAGTCACTTTATGATGTATTCGCCGTCATGATGAATCCTGTTTTAACGCTATTTTCTTATGTTATTTTTCATTAATATAAGTTTGAATTTTTATACGAACTAAATCTTAAATTGTCTTTCATTATGTGTGTATGCGTGCATAATAAAAGTTGTTTTTATTTTATTGGATTTGTATTGTGTTTATTACATACAGGTGCCTAGACAGAATAGCTTTTTTGTGTTAAATAAATTTGATAAATCAAATCTTGCTGCACACGTTCGTTTTCTTTCGTTCCGTTTCCGAAATGAAAAAGTACTATGAATTATTACGTACATTTTGATAGATTATCATCTAAAAATTTACAGGAGTGAGTTTATTTTGTACATAATTTATGTTCCTCTGAATTTATGAATTTCAACATATAGATTTTTAAATTACAAAATGTATTAGATGTTTTCTATAGGGAGCTAAAAGGGTCCTAATCATTCCGGACCAGGCTGCTTATTGCTACATTCGGAACACACTTTGTCGAAGATCAACTGGAAAGATATACTGCATCATTTCACATAATGTTTTGAGATATGACACTGATAAATTTTCAACCACTATCTGTTATCTAACAAATAACATTTTGAAATAGGATAAGACGTTCGCTAACAACAATTAGAAAAAGGTCATTTTATTGTAAGTCTAAATAGTTAAATTGTGAAACATACACTCAATCTGCTGCTTGTGATGGGAAATTGTTGATGAAATTTGGAAAACGCATTATTTTGCAAAATGCTGCATTCCATCAGTGTCAGTTGCGAGGAAAGAGCAAAATATGAAGCACATATTTCCTACTCTCGTTAGTATCTTAAATCTCAAGTTCACCGGTAAATATGAGATGTAAGCACTCATTGACATATGTATTATTGAGTGACAGAACACGATTAATATACCTGAAAGTAAAATTAAAGAATTTTGCAAGATGTTTTTTACTTTTTGGCTTTTAGAAATGTCTTTATGCATTCGGCTTCATATGAGTACAACAACAAATCAGCCAATAGAGATGCGCTAGTAGAATCCTTTTGAACAGTGAATGTATTCTGAAATACAAATCCACCAAATTTAACAAATATTTGGTCGATCAAAAAGTTTAGCACTATGATTATATCATCTTCGGTCTATTTCTTTTAAGGAATCAGTATTACACTTCTCAAAGTAAGATTTTAAATTATCTAAAACAGGGAATTTGTTTCTTAAGACGCTCCTTAGAGTTTTCAGAATCCACATTTGGTAAATGCCAACTGGACTATAGTGTTCAACTAGCTTTTGTGCGGTAGACGAACCCGGGTTTGAAAGGATTAAACAGTCTTATAAAAATAATGTTTACAAATATGCATCTCGGTTATATTTTGACACTATAAACCAGTTTATTTTAATTGGAGTGAGGTGCAATGATTGCTATATAAAACATTTAAAAAGCGTTTAATACCTATCGATGCTTTCATCAACACGATATCTTGCTAAAAGACAGATATCACATTATGTTAAACCTATTTCAGTTTTCTAAGGAATACGATTTTGCAAAATTCGTCATGAGGTATGAGATTTGAAAATCGAAGAACTAGAAACTGTACCTATCTAAACTTTGTTTCATTATAAATAAATATAATAGACTAGTCTAGTATCTACATTGACGCATAACAAAATGTATGACGTTGCGCACGGTATCGGTGCTTCTTTGAAAAAATGCGTTATATAGCGGGTTAATCCAATTCACGCTCTTTTCCTATACAATATATATCCATTATCAGTATATCATTCGAAACGAAATAAACCACACAAATCAATAAAATAGATGAACTTGTGCTATTTATATCATGTAAAGAAAAACTTTGCTCATTTCGACGGCTATAACGTCATTTTAAGGATGTCCCGCTGTTACAATTTTGTTTTGTTTGTGTCTTTGAAATCACAATGCGGACTAGTTAGTAAGTTAAATGAGATAACATTTTACAACAGTATTGTATACAATTGATGAAAAATAGCGTCATAAACGTTTTTAACTGTGAGTGAAAGAAGATTGTCAGGAGCGTTGAGCTTAGGAAGAGAAAAAATGTCCCATTCAGCTGCTCAGCTCCTATGAAAACTTTCGGCCTCCACTATTACAAGATATAACAGATGAAAGTGGCTTTTAATATTATCAGAAAATTTATACATGTCCTAAAGAAGCTTTATGAAGTCATCACTATATAACTGCAGTCTTACTTTCAAAACATCGTCAGTTTTCCCGTGTCCAATAAAATGTCCCGATGGATAAAATGACGCATAGAGTAACCCAGAGGCTGTTTATTAAACGAAATTTTATTTGATCCCCAATTTTGAACACTCTTTAACCGATATGAACGGAAAATACATTTCATTTCTTCTAAAATGATGTGATATATATTTTTGTTTGAGCTGCAGGTATAAAATACGAAACGAACTTAGATGTCCAATAACATGTCCCCATAACTGTAATTTGACGTTCACGTCATGATAACGCTTAATTTTTTGCATATTTGGCATACAATTAATCTTATGAAATGATCTGATCTATATTAAATAAAGTTTTTGTTTGAATATGCATCAAAGTAGATCTGCATTGTATAAATAATTCAAATATGACGAAATATTTAACTCGGATGCTTGACAAAGACCAGGCTCCGAGGCCAAAAATGTGAGACAAGTTCACATACGATCACAGTCTCACTTTTAGAAAAAGAACATACAGTAAAAATGAAAATGCATCCAAAAATGGGCTCACCTTATTGTTTTCCCTTAGCCAGATTATAAACGACTCAAACCCAAGCTTTACACACTGACCTTAATTCCTAGCGTTGCAATTAAAGAATCGGAACTATATATGTGAATCGATTTTTCTAGCCAGTTTGCAGAGCCGGGATTTTGTTTTCGTACTTGTATTCTTAGCTCCATGTAGTAGTATAAATATAGAAATGTTTACTGTGAGTAGAACAATCTCTTATCATCTACCTAGCAACATATGTATGAAAAGGAAGGTCACAGTGTTACTTCTGGAAGTAATGTGTGGAATAATGGAGTTTGTTGTCTCGAATCTCCAACAGAATTTACTGCTACATAGGCATTCGATGGACGAGTATTAAAATGTTAATTGAAACTTGTCTTTTACATTAATTTGAGTGTTAGGGTAATAGTTGTCCGATAAATATGATGGATTGCACGCAACTATGTATGTAGCAGGTCCAGTGTAATAATTTAAAGACACTCCCAAGTACATTTTAACCTAGTTTAAGCTCCCTTTAGAACAAAGTCACCATGCACTCTACCCCATATCTTCCAAAAAAAAAACCTATCCATATTTCTTGAAAGCGTATATTTTGTGGGAAGTACATCATTGTTTGCATGCATAACCAATTTATAGAAATACCAAAGAAAGAATATTAAATGCAATAAATATACTGCATTGAACACGCTGTATGTGTAACAAATTGACACCATAGTTCCTTTTTTACCACTAAATCAACTACAAAATGTCTGCTGTGTGTATCGGCGGTTCTCTCTGAGCACTTCGGCTTCCTTCAACAATAAAAATTGACCGCCACGAAATAGCCAATCGTGCTGAATTTGGCGTTAAACACAAATAAATCAATCAACCAATCTGCTGTGTGGAAAAGTTCATTTTTGTGTATAGTAGATTTATTTTTTCTCTTCGCAAAACGTCACAAAAATGGCTGGAATATTGCTTTTTATACTTGTTAAAAAATCAAAAACACTCAAAACCGAAACCCGAAACCCGTAACTTGATAACCCGTTTGAAAACGGTCTAAAAATGTCAAAGAAAATTTAGTGTTAACCAATACCCAGTTATATTTTAAAATTGGAAGCGCTAAAAAACCCAATTCATAGTATAAAACGTACATGAAATGCATTCCTGGTCCATAGTACTTCTTTCAGAAAACATTGATCCATGAATATTTACGAAAGCAGCTACTTAAATAATACATATCTTGTCACAAAAAATTTAGTATATTTTTTTAAAATCGGTTTCACTCTGCTGTTGGTCAAATATCAGTTGATGTAGATTTACTTGGGTCTCTATAAAAAGGGGTAGAGTTTTTCATACTTTGCCAAAATGCTATAATTTCAAAAACATAGTAAAAAGTATGGATCGCCGACCTTTTTTAGAGCTTTTAAAAGTTTGTGAAAAATGTTCAGATTTTGTAAGGATTATACACGGGAAATGTAAATTTATGCGAATATAAAGAAAACTTGAAGATAGAGTTTTAAATAATATATATATATGAGAAGACAGCTCTTTTAATGTGCTCTCCGAAAGCAAAAAAAAAACAAAACAAAACGGAATTCCCATATTCGTTTTCTTACTTCATCACAAAATAGGTAAATGTTTTGTAAATTCCTTTATAAAATAAATTATAAACATTCTGGATTATTTACCTGATAAAACAACCATGATTTAAAAATTTCAATCAATGAAACCTTTTTTTTAAATGAAAAAGATGTAACCATAAGATAAGCTCA